AAAATGATGTAGCCAAATGCTTCAGTGATTATATAATTTGACGGAGAGAGGTAGGGAGGAAGAAAAGGAAGGAAAGAAGGAAGGGAAAGAGGAGAGGAAGGGAAGTGGAGGGAGGAAGAAATAAAAGTAAAAAAGAAAAGAATAACATTGGAAATAATGGCATCTTCCTTATTCCAGAATTCCGAAGTAACACCTTTCCTTAAGCCAGAGTTAACTTTCCTTGAGCCAGAGTTTAAACACTGTCTTAAAAAAATCATGACTGAAAACATTCAGATCATTAGTGCTTTATCAAAACCCAGTACCACTAAGAAGAAGAAGAAGAAGAAGAAGAAGAAGAAGAAGAAGAAGAAGAAGAAGAAGAAGAAGAAGAAGAAGAAAGCAACCAAGAAAAATTGTATCTGCCACTTTCTTCTTCCCTCTGCTCCTTATTTCTTCTCCCTCCTCTTCCTACACAGCTTCTGTGCTCATGTTTCAGTTTCAGAATCTGTCCATTGTGAATTAAGAGCATTTCATTGGCAGTATTCTTCACCTACGGGTGCAAGATACATTGACCGGCGACACTGTCAGACCCTGCTCAGATTCCTACAATCTCTAGTAAATACCATCACTCCTGGGCAAGTGAGAGTACAAAACCAGACACAACAGCAGGTGCCTCATCTGTGGGAAGGGGCGGGGCTAGGAAGTGTGGGTGACTCAGTGACAGCTCTATTGATCTGGTTTTTAGCTTTGGATTTTTTATTGGTGAGGATGTGATGCAAAATAAATTTCTCAGCAGCGGGACTCATGACAATGAGATTTACACACTGCTGTTATTTTTAGCTTGCCTTGTGAAATGTGATGCACAATTACTAATAATGTTAGAGAATTCATTTAGAGTCTGTTCGCTGAGACCCCGATGGCTGCCACCTGATTAAATGTGGGAGCCAGGCCCTGCAATTATTTCTCAATTTAGTTGGTAGTTAGTTTCTCTAATGATTGGAGAGAAGGTCATTTGTTTTCTCTTTCAAATATACTCCCATCCATTCCAACAAAGCGTGGTTTGTTCTCTGAAGTTGTTACTCAGCCCATTTCAGCCAGGTGAATGCCTTTGATTACGCCAAGTAAAAGCATGAAAAACAAGCAATATTTATTTTTAACCTTGGGATGATCAAAGTATTACATTGTATTAACCTGAACTTAAAAAAAAATAATTTATAAGGTTACAGTGGCCTACTTTGATCTGAAATGTTCCTATCAATTGTGTAATGAAATAATTTATCTTAGCTTCTCTCAAGGATTTCTTGGTTTGCTTGTTAGCCTTAAAGGAAATACCTGTCCCTACATCTCCCCTCCCCTCTGCCGAAAAGCCCCACAGTAATTAAAAAAAAACAAAACACCTTCTCACCTTGACCAAGAAATGCAATTTTTTAGCCAATTAGCAAAACCAATGCAATCATTTCACCAATAAGAAAAATTATCTTTTAAGAAATCAAAGTTCTTAACATATAAGCTATTTTCATAATTTTGATAAATTGCCTAACCTCTTTCACTGATTTGTGTCTTGTTCTTGTCTCTTCTGTAGTTATAACCATTGCCTGACCAAGTGGGTAGGAGATCAGCTAGAAACTCCCTAAGGTACACTTTATCAGGATTACTGCTTTGCTCCCCAAGGCATTAGCAAACATTTCCTGTTATTTTAAAGAAATAGAGGCCTCTGGAAAGAGAAAAGTGTGTATATTCCTGAAAACACCCCATTTCATGTATGTCTCCCAAAAGGATATTTAAAAGTTGTTTTTAAATTTCATTATGATGAATTTCTATTCACACTGTTGACTATTTATTGAACAACTGTTAACTATGTGGCACTGTGTCATAGTACCCAGAGAAAAAAATATTCTGATTTATTCACTCTTAAAAACTATGCAGTGCAGTTAGGCATACAAACAGAAAGCCTGAAGAGAGAACCCATAAATCCGGAGCTTTACCTGGTTAGGGGCTATTCCAGCTGCTCTCCATACATTATCTATCCAACAATCCTGTGAATTATCACTTAACGGCTCCATTTTAATGATGAAGAACCTATGGTTAAAGCATCATTCAGTAACTCCAATCCAGCATTAATAAGAGATTAGAGTGATGGTCAAAGCTGTGAATTACTGATGCAGATATCAGGATTTTCCTATGGTCAAAGTGCCGAGGAATTTTTGAGAGGAAAAAAACCAAGAATGGTTTTAATAGCATCTTGCCAGGTAAATTATAGTGGATAGGTAATTATAGTGAAGGCAAATGAACAGAACTGATGAAACAGGAAAGAGAAATTTATATTTAGGGACACATGCTGCTTTATTTGATTTTTTGTTTGTTTCTTTTCTGTTTGTATTGAAACAAGTGCTTTCTTTTTCTTTTCATTGTTAAAAAATTAAATCTTTATTGTTGAAAGAATTGCATATTCATTATATGTCCCTTCTTTCCCCACTTAGTGACCCCTTCTAGCCTGCCTCTGCTCCCACCCCAGGCCTTCACCACCCTGTTGTCTGTGTCCGTGGGTTATGCATATATGTATACATGTTCTTTCGTTGACCTCTTTCCACCTTCCCACCCACTTCCCTTTTCTCTCTGAGATTCCATAGCCGGTAAAGTGCTCCAAAACTGGAGTCAATAGATACATTATAGATGATTGATGATAGATAGATAGATAGATGATAGATGAAAAAAAATCTTACAAGTACATTTATGTTTATATTTACATTTATATTTATATTTACTTATATTTAATTTATGTATTCATTATTTAATTTATCCAATTATTTATTCATTTATTTATTTATTGAGGATCTATTGTGTATTGGAGTTGAATAAACTCATTGAATATAATATTTAAAATGTTCTTTGAGCCAAAACCGGTTTGGATCAGTGGATAGATTGAAAGATCCTGAGTTCCATTCTGGTCAAGGGCGTGTACTTTGGTTGCTAGCACATCCCCAGTAGGGGATGTGTAAGAGAGAGCTGATCAATGTATCTTTATCATCAATGTTTCTAACTCTCTCTCTCTCTGTAAAAAAATCAATAAAATATATATTTTTTAAAATAAAGTACTCTGATCTTTTTTAATTGAAAATATTTAAAAATTATCCAAAGGAAGTGTTCAAAGCACAAACTGTCAATGTCTTCTATAACTTTTGTTTTTAATTGCCTCTGTACATATTTGACAACAATATTGAATTCACATTTCAAAAATGTTCATGTGTAGGGATATTTTAATATTTTAATCTGACACTTGATTACTATTTCATATTGTAATATTTTTAGTGCATGTTAAGTTATTACTCTCCTGTTTTAAATTTTTTATTTGAATAGAATAAAATAAGTGTAAACGAAATGTGAATAAAATGAAATTAATAGATGTAAGACTATCTTTTCTTTCTTTCAAACAGAAACATTTATCTGGGCATGTGAATAGGAGTTACCCTAGAAATGATCTAGTAATCTGGAGATGACATGAGTCTGAATTTGAAGAATCAAAATGGTACATTTTGAGAGACAGAATAATCTAGGATTTAGAAATAACATGTGTATTTCTCTTGGGTGTTTTGCCTGGCTTGTATGCTAAGAAAGAATGATTCAATTATCATATATTTTTAAAAATTAATAATTTACATTCTCAATAGCTGGCTCTGGGTTTTGCATTTCCAAGAGCAATGTGGAAGAATTTTTCCCCAATCAATAATCCTGTCCGCTAAGAAGGAAAGAGGAATGAAAAGGCTCTGAACCCAGGCCAGAACGTTAGAGAAGACAAGTCTCAAAGGTAAGAGCAATGTAAAGGCTTTAGTTGGTGAAAATTATTCCAGGAGTCTTCTGTTTAATGATTTCCTGGGACCACACATTTTCACATAATGTCAAACAGTCAGAAAGGTGTTTTCACATCTTCGAGGGACTAAGCAACAACTACAGCTCTCCCTGAATTCCCACAAGGCTACTTGTCCAAGTGAGAACCATGATCTCCCTGACACCTCCACCACTACACCTAACTTCAGCCTAAGGAGGTCTTTCGCAGGGGGTATTGCACCTGACCCAAAGGCTCTTTAAAAGCTGCATTGCTCCTTTGGATCCGCTTGAGGGTTTAGATTCAGACAGGAAGTGAAACAGTCCCTGTAGCACATCAATAAACAAAGAACAAAAATACTGCAGCGCTGCAGGTATTCACATGACAACCCACATAGGTTCATCCTGGGTTCTCTAAGAACACCTTCTGATAAGGAAGTGAGTACCATCCTTGGTTAACACTGCCAAGCCACCTCCTCCCTGGCGAGGAACTGGGTAATTTCTGATAAGTGTCTAATTGTCATCTTGAAATTGGAGACACTGGGAGCCATTCAGGCTCCTATAGTAAATGATTAATGTGTATTTTCCTGATTCTGACAGATCCCAAAAGAAGAGCAGATTGCTACCCATAAAACTAAGCAGCCTCAACATGGAATTACTGGAAGAATCCAAAAGTCTTTGCAGAAATGCTGTGCTTAAACCAATGTTTCTCAAAACCCAGCTATTTTAAAGGGACCAGGGTCAATATAAATGAAATAAATGGAGGCTGAGATAGAATATGTCAGAAAATTTGCCGAAAGGTTACTTTAAGGTGGCATGTTAAAAACAATAATGGGCCATTAGGCTGTCTTGTTAAAGGCATTAGAGTCACAGGCACAATGTATGACTCACATGGAACAAGATTTTCCACTTTTTATATAAAAACTTCAATACTGGATTTCTGGTAAAAGTAAAATGTTATCATTTCTGTGTATATTGTTATTATATTTCAGTTAAATGGTAAGCAACAGAACAAGCAAGACATTAATGTCTCTAGAAATATGCTATCAAATATTACACATTGTAATTAATATCACAATACAGACATGAATGTACTTTTTCTTTATAATTAAGTATGCAATTAAAAATATTTTGGCTGTTCAGTTTACATTCAGGCACACTGCATTTTACAAGCAAGCATCTCTTTGTCGAAGGCATTGACTTGTTTTAATTTATTTTTTAAAATTTTTGGTCATTTTTGTCCAGGGCCCATGCTACTCTTCTCTGTATCATTGCAACTTTAGTATACGTGCCACGGAGGTGCACATTTGATTTATTTTTGCAACAAGATCTGAGCACCTCCAATGACTAAGATAAGGTAGTAGGTAGTTTAGGATTTAAATTATGTCTAATGTAGAATTAGAGGCAGGGGCTAGCTCAGTGAGGTGTATGCCCCATGAGCATGGCTTTGTCTCTCTGTGCACTCCTGAGTCTCCAGAACCCACAACTAAATCAGTTACGTAGAATATAACAAGTCTTTGTGTTAAAAGGGCGTACATATTCTCATTGTTTTAAAAATTACCTGAATAATAAGAGTAGATAGTCCTTTCTGACTGTTACCCATCATTTCGGAGCCTATACATTATTAATTCATTTTCTTAATTTACTTTTGCAATACTTAATATTGAAAATATTTTACTCCTATAAATTCTTTAGGTGCTCTTGATGATAAAAGAAAAATACTTTGAAAGGATATGACACTGTCGTGAATTTGTTTGGTTAGAAAACTTGCCCTTATATTTTTTGAATTATTGATTTATTTGCTGTTTTTATTTGTTTGCTTATTTTTATTTTTAGACTATTCCTGGCATAGCCTTAACGATAAAAAATAAATACTACATCCCTATAGAAATACAGGTAACTCCCATTTAGTACATTTCATGCTACCTAGTCAAACCACTTGATTCTTCCTGGTGGAAACTCAGTATCTTTGAATAGTTCTAGCTATTTAAATAAATAAATCTCTTACATCAAATATGGCATATGGGATATTTATCTTTTTTCTTACAGTGTTCATACTGCTACACATTGCCTCTTTAATTACCTTCTGAATGCCTTGCATTGTCATTTTTACTGATCTTTAAAATTAATGTCAAAACATCTTTACTTGCCACCCAGCAGTGCTCATGAGCTTAGAACAGAGCTGATTCCCAGCCCTGTGCGGGGACTGACGGTCCCAGTGGGCACCTCACACCAGGAGCTCCACCGGGCACGTCCCTGCCTTTGCTGGGGAGGGGCAGGAGATATTAGGACAGTAGATGGGGAGAAACAGTGTGGCAGACTCCAAATGCTGGAGCTTACAGAGGCTTTACTTATAGGAAACTCATGTAAATAATGACAGCACACATAAAAGACATGGAAGAGAGGAGATACCAGATCATAATATAAGCATCTGTCCTCAGAACATCGCGGGCGAGGTTCCTGAAAACAGCCTTGGGAGTCTTGTGCTGCAGCCCCATTGACTGGATCACTGCTCAGGGCATTTCCCAGCTCCAGTGCTTTGGCTGACCTAGGAAATCTCACCGTTTTGCTTTGCGAGGCATGCATGCTTTTAGGAAAGCCTGTCTTTCTGTTTCTCCGCCCTGCCCTGCCTCTGCAGAACGCTGGGCTCCGGCGTTTAGGATTTTAGAATTTCAGTGCAGCAGCAAACCCAGGGAAGTAATAGGCTGTTATAGAGCCTGGGCACGCGGGATGCCATCCATTCCGCTGTTGGTGGCTGCAAGCGAGAGGGACTGCCACCCAGTGTTTTCCCGGTGCCTGTTTCAGGCAGCTTCGGAATTGACAGGGGAAAGGGGGGAGAGAGGGCTGAGAAACAGGGGGGGAAAAGAAAAGAAAGAAAGAAAAAAAAAAAACCCTCCGTTTTCCTTGAGGGTGGAGACCATTTCAAAAGTATCTGAGAAAACTTAGGTAGTAATTCCTATTCCAAACATACATAAGTCACAGGCAACCTCATTCTTTGGTTTCTACGCACATTTCTTCTTTTGAGTTTAGCACAACAGGGAGAAGGAAATTGGAGGTTAGTGAATCCACTGGGGCCATAGGTGAAGAGGACTACATTTCAGTCAAGACAACAAGGAAAGTACAAAGAATGCAGTTTCTCTTTCATGTGCTTTGATCCTCTTTCCTGTTTTACCCTTAATGAATACTTTCTCAAAACTGAAAATAAAACCCTTCACTGTGTTAAGCTGAGCTCTTCCTAGGGAATTCTAAGTGGATACGTGTGTTTCTCATCTGTGAATATGACTATATAGTTTCATGTATATCGCTCACACACATATGTCTGCACATGTATAATTGTCTTTTTGCTGGGAATGAGGCAATAGTGAAGAGAGAGAGAGGAAAAGGGAGGCCTTGCTAGAGACCCAACAGCAAATATTCCTTTCTTTTAATTTATTTTAGGGTTTTACGTACTGGCACTGATCAGTCTGGGGTATTGGGAGATTTGAGACGGTGGCATAAAATCGCACATGTGCCATGAGAAGCTGGGGATTGTAAGGCGGGTCGATGTTCAAAGTCCTCCACCTGCACAGAAAACCTCTTCAACAGCCCCAGATAGTAGCCCTGGAAGGTAACGGGCTGAGAGAGCCACTAAGAGAAAAACATTTCATGTCAACAATGAAGGTGCACCAGGTATGCATGCTCAGGGTGAAATTATTGTTTCTCTTTATTCTAGAAAATGTGCCTAGAATGTCTCCTATTATTCAGACTGGAGAATAAGAAAAGAATAGATGTTATCCCAGGTGTTTTGATGCTTTGATTTGCTTTCACTGGCTTGCTTATGCCATGAACAGAGGCCACACATGTATGCCCTCGTAGTGCATGAACACACATTACTCAGAGCTATAATATATCTTTTTCAAGATTTCTTTCTTGATTAAGGTGTTACATGTGAATCTTTATTCCCGCATTACTTCCCCTATTCCCCCCTCCCCCAACTCATGCCCTCACCCCCCTTGTGTCTGTGTCCATTGATTGGGCTTATATGCATACATACAAGTCCTTTGATCGATCTCTTCCCTTTACCCCCACCCTCCTTGCCCAATTGAGGATGGGATGTTTGCCACAGTGGAATGACAGTAATACACACATGGTCAGTAACTGTACTCATTGCAAATAAGCTCTAACTATATGATTTGAATAATCATATTAATAAATACATGATACTCATATGTACAAGTCACCTTTTCTCCCCACTGATGGGTTTGATTACTTTGACAGATGAAGATAAGTTAATGATACAAATTAGGAGCAAGAAGAATTAAAAGGGTGTTTAACTCTGATGCCAGACTGTCAATTTCCTATAGAGCTAGCAACTTACAGATAGATGATTAAAATTGTTTCGTTTAGGAATTTGAATATTTTAAAAATTGAATGGGTTTCTGGAGGAGGAAAAAAGAAAGAAAAATCTGTGCTTAGATAATTAGACATCCTATTTGATTTAACAATAGAAAAGGATTATTCTTTGAGCATTGAGATCATCCTACATTACTATAGGAGCCTACTTTTTGCTGTTCCAAATGTATTTGTAAAATTTCACCCGGTGTGTTTGTCTAATTCACATGTGTCAAACACAAGGCCCGCGGGCCAAATCCGTCCCTCCAGGCCTTGCAATGTGGCCCGCACCGCGCTGTCATCACTGCACTCCGCTGCGTTTCCATCACAATGACAGTTTATGACTGTTCAGTAAACCATTCGGCCCGCGATTTAGGCTGGATTTTAGATTTTGGCCCCTTCTCTGATTGAGTTTGACACCCCTAGTCTAATTCTTTCTGTTTGATATCATTTATACATTTTCTTTAGTTACAGGTTTATAAGAAGTGTTCAGGGGCTCCTTAATTTGTTTCTAAAGTGCCTATTTCCAAAATATGATGCTTGATACTGTGGGTAAGTCCCAAAAACATAAATTCAGGTCCATTCTCTGAGGGGCTAAAATCTGAGGGGGAGGGGCAGAAAAAAATGCCAAATGCAAAAAACCCCCATATATTTCTAGAATCTTGTGAGTGGCATAACAGTATAAAAAAGTACTTCGATTGCATAGAAGGAATGTGGAATTTGGATTTTTCAGTCAGTGTCATTTAAGCCTGATTATATCACTATATAACTATATACACCGTGATAAGTTTACCTAATTTATTTGGGTTTCATTGTATTAGCTGAAGTATGAGGAAACAATACCTGTCTCTCTGATATGGGTGAATATTAACTGAGCTAAGACATGTGAGACATTAAGAACACACTGGTACATATTCAGAGTTATCAGGAGACCCATTGGTTGCCCCTCAGAACAAATATAACTCTGTGGTTTTTATCAGTTTTCTTCTTTGTTTTATCCACTCCAGTGTTTCCTAAAGTGTGGTACGCGTACCCCCAGGGGTACAGGAAGAGTTTGGTGGGGGTACGCATTGCACCGGAGTTTGGTGGGGATATGCACTGCGCCTAATTCTAAGTTCTAATGAGTACGAGGGGTACTCAGAGTTATGAAAATTATAGAAGGGGTACACATATGTCAAAAGTTTGGGAAACAGACTATAAACTGAGATCAGAGACTATATTTCATTTATTGATATATTCCCACTGATTCAAAAAGGTTTATTAACTGATTAAAAAAGTAATTGATGAGCATTTGCTAACCAGATAGTTAAATGATATTGAGTTGTTTACAGACTCTAGCAAGATCTGCATTCTCATCTTGATGAGATGATCATTTCTGTCTGAGGATATAATTTTAGAAACATGTGATATAAACATAAGAAAGTGGAACTCCTGTCTTGACTGTCAGATAAGATGAACCAGTTCTGGGGTCAATGTGGTGACATAAAACTCTCATCTTCTAATATATTAAATGTTCAGAAAATAAAAACAATGAGAAAAAATAAGTCAATAATAGCACTCCCCACATCATAAGTAAATCAACACTCTTCAGTGTATACCCCTAATGTAGTTGAATGAGGATAGAGCTCCATGCTTCACACTAGGTCCCATCTGATACGTAGTTCCGTGACCCTGGACAAGAGGCTTTACCTTTCTGAGCTTCGGTTCTGTCATTTGTAGGTGGGAAATAGTGGATTTAATGATCTTTAATTACTTCTAAGTGTAAACCTCTGAGTCATTGCACTTAGTGTTTTATTATTATTATTATTATTATTATTATTGTATCTGAAATGTTGATGAATGTGTTTGCTTGTTATTTTACCACAGTTGAAAGATTATTAAAGTGAATGCAGAAGACTTGAAAGAGATGGTGACATTTTCAGGACAAATGCAAT